GAAACAAAACGCTGGCATCAACAACGACCAAAGAACTCGACCACGAACCTTATTGGACTCTGCTTGCCATCAGGATGAGAAATCGATCAATTTGCTTTCGGCCAGACGTAATTAGAATTTTTTACAGGGGACTTCACACGACTCGCCTTTCTGTGTGTCCAGATCTTCATTTTCGAGTAAAACAGTCCAACCCAGTTTCCAGTCGTACGATTCAATTTCATACATCAACCCATTTTGGAGTGGGGTGTACGCTTTTGAACAAAATTAAGGAGTGAAGATTAATCGGGAATTTTTGAAGATATTGATGTCAATTTGTTTTTCGGGGTCGTTCTTCTCGCTCGGTTCAAAATTATCATACATAAGCTACCTATTGAAATACATAAGTCATTATAATTTATGACCATGTCACTTGTTGTATCAAGAAACATCGTTGATATTACTCTTGCCACAAGCCAAAAAAGCCTTGAATTCAAATTTTTGAAAATAAAAAAAAATACATTTTTGGCCAAGTGAACATTGTCATTGTAAATAAATTACACCCGGAGATGAAGCAAAAAAGCTTTTGTTGATTTCATCCTTATCTTCTTACATATAATAAAATAAAACCGATATATTCTTGGCAAAGTCTGATGGATCGCGTATCAAGAAAACTGTTGATGGATGGCCTCGGAGGTTCTGTCTTTTAGAAGAAGGGTCCTCACTCGACTAATGATATGCCATGCAAGGTATGGGACATACTTTTGGGTTAAAGCACAGGTTTGATGCAGAGAAAAGCTCCTCGAGTGACCTAATTGAAGGGTGCAATTCCTTGGCTCCATATAGAGAGCGCGTAAGAAAGCCACCCGACATGAGAATTATGGTTGAAAACAGCAGCGAGTCCTCGTTCCGATCACTGGTAAAAGCAGGGTTGTTTCATTATAATAATGATAGTTCTGTGTCTATCTGTCCTAGCGTTTGTTGAGAATGGATGTCTTTATTATCGTGAATGTGTAGTAAGTGTAACATTTTTGTTTTGGATATTTATCGACCTGCAGCAAATTAAGTTTGGGTGATAAAATCTTCTTTAGAGGTCATATGAACCAAAAAGTAACTTTTTGGATTGTTATTCAGATATCGTGAGATGCGGTCGGATGTGATGTAGGTTTCAGAAAAACATTTTCTTTACCGTGCCAACGTTTCGATCTTTTATTGAGATCATCTTCAGGGCTCAAAGTGTTTGTCTTCTGTGTAATTGTGCCATCCTTGCGTGTCGTGTTGAGAGTGCCCACTACGGTCACTAATCTCTACACATTTTTGGATTTTGCCGAGCATTCGGAGGTTTATTCGACCATCATAACTCATAAATTATCAAATAAACAGGCCCAAATGTTGTGGAATAAACCACCGAATCTTCGGCACAGCCCAAAATGTTTTTTTTTGCTTTATATGACCTCCAACGAATGTCTAATATTTATCGACCTAGTTTTACTAAAAAAAGTTTCATGAAAATCGGTTATTATTATTATAATAACGGCCGTAGCCTCTCATTGTAAACAAAATCATCAAATTAATTTTCTACCATTAATTGTTAAATTGATTCATGATCATATGATCAATTCGTTTATAATAACATCAACGAGAAGGCCAAAAAAAGAGGAAGCAATTCCAACTACAACAAAATAATTTAATTTAATTTAAACAGTTTGTGTACAATATTTAACAACGCTTGTTTAAGTGTCAGCCTGTTTGTCAGATGTACTTCAGTTTCTTTTTTCTCCATTATGGGTATTATAATTTTTTTTTTTTTGGTTTACTCATACTCATACCATTTATTCTTCCTCTTCAATTTTGGTTAATTAAACTTTTTTCTTATAGTTTACGAGTCATGTTCTTCTCTGTTTCGGTTTTAGATGCTTAACACGTTTCTTCGTCAAATATCCCATTGTGACACAATATTTTCTCGGTGGTAATAAAACAATTCTAATGTTGTCATGGTGATTATCACGTCCTTTATTCGATTCAAAAATATCCGTGGCGCGTTGACTGTGGCATATTTACAAACGCATACAGTGTACTATAGTAATATGTTCAGCTTTCAGATTAAAACATTATATGACGAATTTTTCATCAGATGCGGAAATTCATCATCCTTGAACTAATCGATGTATAATTTTATAATAAGACAATATAATTTTATTGATTACTGATTAATATAAGCTTAAATCTACACATGCGTACCTAAGTGTATAGAGTTAAGTTTATCACTTCTCGCCATTCCAGCTTTTGTAATTTATAATAAATTACCGGCAAGCCTCGCGAATCACCACCGAAGTAGCTATCAAAAACTAGGTCATTTCAGCCACCAGCGCAGTCTCCCATTCACACTCTCACTCACTCTTCAATATTACATACAATTTGATCAGTTACGGTGGTGTAGTACTTGATATAAAATACTTCCTTTACTGTCCACAAATCACATCGATGGGGTACTCGATAATCTCCCCTCACACTACACATTCTCGCTAATAAATACATTCTGTATCTGTTTTCTCCAAAAAACCCAAATATTCGCTTCCGTGCCAAGCCCGGTTATCAAATCGGGTGGCATTCCTACTCTATATAGGAGTGGATTTCTCGGTATGCCTAACCCGATTAAGGATAGGCCATGCATGGACAGGGAAACCTACTTTTAGGTCTAAGCCCGCATATTGTCCGTATGCGTGCTTAGGCATAAAATTAGGTTTTTCTATTCTGTTATGGCCTATCCTTAATCGGGTTAGGATGAATCTTCTTCTACCAGTCAGATCCTCCGAAAGATATTGTTATTTGCACGTAGAATAACATGTAAATTGTAACAATAAAAAAGAAGAGATTTTTACCCGGTATGAATTTTATGTAAAGTAAGATTGACATTTTTATCCTAGACCTAATTAACAAATGTAACACACACGCAATTATTAGAAAATTCTAAAAATGTTAGTTACAAAAGCTATATTATGTAAATGGTGTTTTCTCTGCTGAAAATAGCATGTAAAGTGTGGACAGATAAATTTTAAAAAACACCAATAATATTAGACTACAAATTTTATTTTCCTTAATTAATGCTAAATCTTAGTAATACTAATAGTAAATAATCTTAGTAATATAACTTTATGGAAAATTAAGAAGACAAGATAAAAAATAGTTAAATAGAGTGGAAAAACTATCAACTGGTAGCGCGCTCCATAAATAGGCAGACTCTAAAGTTTAATTTAATTCAAAATGAACTGTTTAAACAAACCCTTAGCCTTTACAATATAAAGCGAAATTTTGCAGCAACATTTTCTACATAGCAACACCTATGGGATCTTTAAATGTATCAATTATGTACTTGTATTTTTCAAAAACTTCGAATCTCAAGAACGTACACAAATAGCAAATTTAAAGAAAATTTCAAAAAAAAATCTACAAAAGCATCAAAAAAATGCAACGAGCGAATAAGATGAAGAAACAAAAGCGGAATGTTAAATGTGAGTGTAAGCTAATCAGGTACGATCAACAATAGGCAGTAAGAATCTTTTTAAATTGTCATTATTTATGTACTTACTATTCGTTGTTTCCGAAGAATTTAGTTTGCCACTTTTGATATGGCTGTGCTTGCTGTTTTGGTCTTCCAATTCTTTTTTCTTTTGGTTCTACCCACGGTGTTTTGATATGTCCATTCTTTCTGGTTTATGTGACCATCCTTGGTGTTTAGTTCTGTCCGTTCCTTTGGTTTTGTCTGCCCATCCTTGGTTTTGGTCCATTTTCTAGCGGTATGTAACACAATGTCATGTGCGGTCATTCCCGATCATTTTGTTCTTCCTGTCCTTGCTGTTTTGCCCTGTCAGTCGGGCTCCTCACCATCTTCAATGGAGCTGTTAAATCAGCACAGAGTGTCCAGAAAATGAGGACTGTCTTGAAAACTGACAGCTAGAAGACATATATCTAACAGACCAAAAAAGCGAGGATAGCTAGACCAAATATTATCGTCAAAGACCTAACTGTAGGTTCGCTACCTTGCAGATCCAAAGAGAAAATAATAAAATAAAAAAAGTATACAACTTTTAAAGGTGTGGGTGTTTCTAGTTTTTGTAAAGAAATTCATCAGTTTTTTAAGTTAAGTTTAAAACAATAAAAATAAACTAATGTGGCTTGAGCATGTATATAAAAATTTGGAAAAAACCCACAACAATATTTTAAAAAGGACACAAATGAAATGCAAATATGCAATAAGTAAAACAAATTATAATCGAAAAACAAAAAACAAAGTTATAAAAAATAAAGGATTACTTAACACGACACATCATCTGACTTAAAAACCAAAATCTTCTGGAACCATAAATTATAATTTAATATTTTAATATTTTAAAATGTTTACATTTAACAGTTGAAGAGGGTGAGCAGGCAGCTACCCAAAATTTATATTTTTGCTTTGCAGGCCTATCTACTCCAAACAAATCCATTCTTAAAATTATAAATTATTAAAGGCTGGTTTCTCTCCACTGTGCCTTCTGGAAAATCTATCAGAATGTATGTAGATATAACTATACTATTTGCTCAATGTATAACTTAGTACAGATAGAAATAAATAAAATAAAAAACGTTAAAAAATATAAATAAAATATTGTAGGTTTTTCCTAGAAATTCGAGTATTTTTAATAATTTTCAGTAATATTAAATTAAAATACGTCATATATTATAATGTGGTTTTTAGAAGCGCAAAGTGTATTTTTTCACTATGTACAGAAGGTCTAATGTGGAATTTAGGCTGCCCGATCGACATGTCAAGGCCCTGAGACTGGAATAATGCCGTTGCACATTCGATTTCGTATTTAGACGGAAAAGGGCGATACCTGTGGAAAAACAATTTCTGTCGAAACGCTCTACGAGTATGCCCCATTGTAATTGCCGGCTTTGGAGGCGGATGATGGAGAAGCATAGCGCGCGGGTGGGATTGTATAACGGTTAAAGGTCGCACACTTTCAGAGGGGGATGCCATCCACTACTGATAGTGGGGGAGGATAGCGATCAACTACTTAAGGAGAACTCGGACGTCTTGCAATCATAGTTCGACGACGACAGTCAATACCAACATGAAATACTGTGTAAGTATCTGTGCTGGTGTGAGACCAACCTTTCCTTAAGGAATATTTGGCTTTGGTTACTTCGTTAAGTCGGTAACTTACTTACTCCTCATATCGCGTATATCTTCCTGGAAAAATGGAGAAAGCTTTTGACTTAAAATTTACAATGTAAAAAAAATATTTTCTTTCGCCATGCTGTTTTTACGCCATGAAAACGTATTCTATGCATTCCAAATTACTAAATTTTCTTAAAATTTACAAGTTTTATGACTTCTTCAAACAGAAATTAATTTTTTTTTTTGCGTTCAAAATTCGTGAATTACTGTTTTTACACGCAAGAAAAAATTGTTGGCATTCATAAAGTAAAATGAATTTTGAATCATAGATATCATCACTTCTTTTTCTCTATATATGTCTTTGTTATACCATCAATTTAACAAAACAACTTATTAACGTTTATAATAATTCTTTTTGTTATATCTCTTTTATTTATAGGATAGTTAAAGCAAAAAAAATCGTCTTAGTAATAATTCTTTAATATGTATATTTATTCTTATACGATGAACTATACAGCTACTTTTTTCTTCATAATAATTTGTTATGGATGTCGTTTTTTTATTACCATCTATTCAAGAAACAAAAATTTTATGTTGATAATAATCTTTCGATTATATCTATTTTTATATCATTTTTATGCGAGGGAAAAATAAACTTTGTGTCAGTATAACAATTATTTAAATAATATGGATTTTTTTATACGATATGTAAAACGAAACAAAAACCATTTTTGTCTTTATAATAAGTCTTCAATCCTATCTCTTTTTTTATATGACGGACTGAACTAAAAACTATTTTTGTTATAATAATAATTCCTTATGAATGTCTCTTTTTTCGATGTATTAAACTACAAAAATTGTTAATATTTATAATAATTATTCTGAGATATCTTTCTTTTATCTTTTTTTATAAGATGGTCTAAAAAATTTTTTTTGCCTACATACATTTTTTTAAATATGTTTGTTTTATACTGTAAGCACAGCAAAAACTAATTTTGTCAAAATAAATCTCTTTTTTTATACGATGAACTAAAGAAAACAACTTTTTGTCTTCATAAATTGTTCAATAATGTCTCTTTTTATACGTTATTTCAGATAAAACAAGAACTATTTTTCTGCTCGTAAAAATTTTTAATGTTTAATGTAATGATGGTCATAAAAAATCCTCTAATAATATCTCTTTTCAAGCGTTGGTTTAAAAAATTAATATATCGTTTTGTATAACTTGGATGAAACAAAATCTTTACCCTCGACTTTATTGCAAAATAATAATAGCGTCAAATTTACAGTGTTTTGGGTAGTCATTTAAAATTATTAAATTGCGCAGAAATCGTCGGTTAATTCAAAATTTCTTTTAGTTTCAATATATCAAGTCTCCCTCTTTTTTTCTGCAATGGATTAAACAAAACAATTATGTTTATACATTTTTATAACTTGGATAGAACAAAATCAGTATTCTTCTCTTTATTTCGTTTATTATTTTTTATTTAATAGCATCGGTTCAAATTCTCAGTTTTGTTGCAAGTTTACAACTGTCAGTAGAAATTTTACACAACTCATCAGTAAATTTTAAATTTCAGTCTATTTCAACGCGTTTTTTTAAATTATATTTTCACTTTATCAAAACATTAAACGCGGCTATGACAATTATCCAAAGATTTAAAATTTAATTTTTTTTTAAGTTAAACATTTTTTTTATTATTTATTATTATTTTCTTTTTTTTTCTTTTTATACTGTGTAGCCAACATTCTGCTTTTTTTGTAAATAATTTTAGTAGTATTTAGGCCAATTGAGCCACCTTCTGAAATTTTCTAACCACCTAAGCCACCTAAAAACGATCCAATATTATTAATATTATTTTACAAATCAAGTAGGCTTAATAAACTTAAAATAACACAGTTTAGTCGTATATTTCCGAGCATTTTGTAATATTGTTTATTCTATTTTTAAAAAATCGAATTTTCACATTTCGTTCTCCGTGGGTCAGCGTATAATTACCATTTAACAATTGCCTTTTCCCTAGATTGTCCGTGTTTTTTATTTTTGCAACACGGCGTACATTTATTTAACAAATTGTTTCGATCAATTCTTAAAAAAATTATTCGGATTCAACCGAACGCGCTATTTTGATATATAAAGATTCAAATCGTGGCAAGCCTGCCAAGATGATATCGACTGTGGGTCGTCCTGATCTCGCTATTTGCCATTTGTCTTCCTCGGATGGGCCAACAACAGACAGGATCGTGCTTAACCAAGGACGAAAAGCGAAAATGAACGGCCTTAAAAATAAGGAAATGGTCTAGGATGAAATTTTTTTAAACAAGGTGAATAATGTTAAAATCTACTTTTTATGCCAATTATATTCATTCCACTTAAAAAATGTAATTCATCATTACACATAAATTCAAGTTTAAAAAGACCAAAAACAATTTTAATTTAAACTGACAATTGATGAAAATGTTAAATATTTTATTCTTGAGATGTTTATTTATTTTTTTTATAACGTATATTTGAGAAATATAATATCAGTGGTTTTTAATAAATAAATCCAACCGTTATCAGTCTAACATATATTCATAATACAGCATTAATAAATAGATGTAATCTGTGTCGAGAAAAAAAACTCTTTTTTATATGCTGCTACACACGGTTTTACAACATTTCGATATTATCATTCTTTACCATTTTATATTTATTAAGTAACATTTGAATTTTTATATAGATTTTATAAATGTTTATTTTGCAATTTTGCAAGCTTCATCAGTTTTATGTATTTAAAAAAAAAAAGCTACACTTATAATCTTATTGCGTTTTGCTAGACTTCAAATCTTGGGTGGAATTTTTTTTATTTTTTTTTATATAAGAAATAAAAAGTGTGCTTTCTGGTATTTAACGCGTAGAGAAGTAAGTTGTACATTGGACACATGCTTATTTTACTTAAATAGAAAGGTGTTTAAGGGACGAGCTAAGACAATTGATCGTCGTGGCCTTCTTACTTCACCTTGGTTATGGCATTTGAACACCTTCGGATCAAAGTTCAAACGGATCCCGAGACTTTTCAAGTCCCAGGTCGCGTGTTGACCGAAAAAAGTATTAAGAAATTCAAAAAATTACATACGTAGAAGCTCACGGGTTTTTCATTTTTGGGCTTGACATGAGACCTTTATAGCACGTCATCAGTTCCCAAACCCGCCATCATGGGAATGTTCGTTTTCGGATTTCTTTTTATTTCTTAACTCCCGTGTTGCATTTTTGTTTTTAGGGTGATGGTCAATGCTCAACGACAGGATAGGAATGGAAAATTATGGCTAGTGGGTAATTATGGATTGTCAACTCGTCGCCGACTTGCATCATTCGCGCCTGTTAGCACAAACCTGACAAGGTTAAAAATGAAATAACCAAAAGCTAATTAGATGTACAACTCAAAAAGAATAGAAGAATAAAGAGAAAAGTGAAAGAAACTTAATCTTTATTCATTATGTTTTATTATGAACATGTACTTTCAAGGCCTAGATGATAATTCCAAAAATATTCATATAAGCTCCAGGACTTTAGACTCCAAGAATGTTTAAAAGTATTGCGGTGTATAAAAAGGAAATACTATTCTATTTTGGCTTGGATAATTCAACGTTTTAAACATTTAAAGATTCAAAAACCAAACTCCAACAAAAATTACAAGCTGTGTGTGTAGTAGGTATTTTTAAGAGGGTTCTCAACAGCAGAGGTTATATACACCCTCCAGGTGCCGGTGTTTTTGAAAAAAAAAATTTTTGTAAGTATGTGGGTATAAGAATAGCAGGGCCGCTGGATTCGAACCCGGGACCTTTACCTTACAGTGATGAGCGCCGTGTCAACGTTAAGCCGTTACGACTACAGACGCCCCTTAATTACAAGCTGTGCTGACTTTGTAATGCTAAAGCCGTCTTTTTTATGTTTTTATTCTAGAAAACTTCTGAGAAAATTAATAAATTTTATTTTTTAAATTTAAAGATTGATCTACACGATCTGAGTGGTGATGGATTTGTATTTTTTTCGCTATTTTAATCTGTCGAAACTTTTCTTTTTAACCTGTAAATATATTGTACGTAAATGAATATTTTTATGATGATAACGATTTTTTCTTTATTGCTGATTTCAGGCAGCTCTTCTCTTCCTCATCGGTTCGGCATTGGCCGCTCCCCAATTCAACCAGCAACAGCAGTACTCGAGCAACACCACTCCCGTTCCCATCGTCGCGCAAAGCCAAGACGGCCCCAACCTCGATGGATCTTTCAACTTTAGGTAAAGCCTCCATTTCCAAAAGAAAACCCGAAAAAAAAACATTGCCAGGACCAAGTGAAAAGTTATGTAAAATCCATTTTTACGCTAAAAGAGCGCCAAGGTTCGGTGTCAAAAGGTGAAAGTGTTTGTAATCGCCGACGGACTTATTGTGCAACATGTTTTAGGTTCTTCTTCACGTTTTTAAGCCCCAATATATCTCGGCAAAAGGAAACGTGGGCGTTCAAAATTATCCCTACTTCTTTTTTTCATAATTGGGAACCGTGAAAAATAGAATTTCACGCTCGTTTCACACTAGGGGGTTTCGTTAATGTTTTAGCCGTGGGAATCAGCAAACAAGTCGAAAAACATTGCAATAACACAGTAATTAATTTACTTGGATTACGTGTCATATAGTTCGTATGGACTTTTGTCGTTCTTTAGGCTTATCCAAAATACTTCTTCTTTTAAGAATTAATTGTTCATAGAGTTTGATCATGCAGAAAATTCAACTTATCAAACAGCTTATTATAGACTTTATCTTGCATAGTCACTATTTTATGTTCATGTAGTTGAGACAAATATACACTATTTATCAGCAGAAAAATCTAAAAACGTTGTAAGCTTTAAAAAATGGGTTATGTAACAGGTCTCACATTCCATTTTATTGCATCTGTTGTAATGCAAAAGACGGTGTGTCATCTTCACCTGACGTTCTGTCATACGGGTCATGGTCAAACAGCTTTCCTTTTCTAAAGCTTTCCTTGTTAGGATGTAACTTTTCTTTCTTGTCAACTCCTCTTTTTGCAGATACGAATCTGGCAACGGAATCCAGGCGGAAGAACAGGGTTTCGTCAAGAACTTCGGCCAGGGCGAGGCGAGCGAAGTCCAGAGCGTCCAGGGATCCTACTCTTACACCGCTCCAGACGGCCAGGTCGTCCAGATGACTTACACCGCCGACGAGAACGGCTTCGTCCCCCAAGGAGCCCATCTCCCGACACCTCCTCCAGTCCCCGAAGCCATCCAGAGGGCCCTCGAATTTCTCGCTTCCCAGCCCCAGCAGGATTTCGACGAAAGGGGCTTCCCCGTCGGCGGAGGTCAGGCCAACCCACAAAGGTTCGGATAAACTAGGATCGAGTGCAACCGGTATCGTCAAAATTGAAACCCAAAGTCTTATGAATTTCGCCTCGTGAAAAGCGAAGTTGCCATTTTTTAAACCATCTTTTTTTTTGTATTTTAGATATAAATTTTTTTATATTTATTTTGTAAAAATAAAAAAAATGCTTTAATTTCTTAATTTCATTTTTTTTATCCCAACCTTTAATATTATTTGATTTATCTTTACAAATGTAATAAGTGAATGATACAATACCATACATGTTGTCCCTTGAACAAACGTCAATACTTCAGAAGGATATCCTACATCTCAAATCGGACGAAAAAGTCCTAAAGTCAAAGTATAGGAGATATTCAGGTTACTTCAACCTTTCAAGTTTTGATCCTACAGTAAACTTCATTACGTGAATAAAAAGTAATCAGAATTAAAGTTATTTGTGAATCGCACCATAAACATTGTACTTTTATGTGTCATCATTTGTCTTTTAGTACTAGTTTATGTTGCCTATTCTAAATATGTAATTAATTCTTTCCTGGTGCCGTAAACTTTGGTCAAACAGATATACCACATTTTTACAAGGTGCCTCAATTCTCTTTCCATTCTTATAGAACATTTTTATGAGTTACGGGTATGGTATTGTGTGGTACAAGGAAGCGGGGTTTTTGATCCCCAGGCACTGTAGCCTTCTAGCTTATTGTACTTTTCTAGTTTCTTAGTTCAATGCAATAGACTCAATCCTTCTCCTTAGAAGTATCAGGTCATTGACTGTCGCTGCTGCAATTTGATTCCCTAAGTTTTTTTCGTATTTTAGGTTAAATCTGCATTGAGCTGTTGCTTCGCATTCGAAGATGATACTGGTGCCTGTTTCCTCCTCCTCATTGCATAATCTGCAGATTGGATCATCGTTGTAATGCCCATGTTGTGTAGATGTTTTCTCAGATGCCAGTGACTGATTAGTAGTACCACTCCTCTGAGTTTAGCCTTTGCCAATTGCAGCCGTGATTTTTGCTAGTCTTTGTGAGGGTTGTTTCATCATAAGTTTACTAAGTCTAGCGCCGCTAGAGTTTATCCACTTCTCCTTTCGTTTTGTTTGGATCCATTCTGCGATAGAGGATTCTATATTTGTTTTTGTTATCCCAAGTATAGGCTGTAAGCTATGTATGGTCCTCCTCTGGCCTTTCTGCCTGCTTTCTCGTTACCCAAAATTCCTCTGTGCCCTGGCACCAAAGATATCATCATGTTGTGTTTCTTTTACATGTTAATGCTTTAATGACTGCTTGACTATCAGATCTTATGAGGATTTTTTGGAGCAAAAGCATTGATGACATGTATTTTTGCTTGAAAGACCAAAGTGTACTTCCCTGAAGAGTTTGAGTGCTCATGTTTTGGACTTGTACAGAAAACGCCTGATCCGGTTTCTTCGTTTGTTTTGGAGCAATCTGTATAGTATATGATTGTATCTAATGCTCTCCTGTGTTCTTCCTCTCCTTTATAGTCCGTTGAAACTGTAGGATGTTGTAAAGCATGTTTTCGGGATCATATAGTCAGTCTCCATTTCTAAGACTGGGTGTCTGATTTTGTTGACTATGGTTGTCAGCCCGAATTGTTTAGTTTTTTTTTTTTTTTTTTTTTTTTTTNTTTTTTTTTTTTTGCGTTATGAACTATGCATATTAGCCATGTGACAAATTCGTATATATGTGTGTTCAAATTTGGGGGGTTATTGGGAAAAAAGGGCCAGGGGCAACGGTGGGAATCGAACCCACGACCGCGGCGTGAGAGTCTCTCATGCTAACCACTCGGCTACCGCGGTCCCCAATTGTTTAGTTCCTATACAATTTGATTGTTTCTGGAACTTAAATGAGTTTTTCTAGCCTCTCCTTTTATGAATATTTCCAGTGGAGGTAGGTTTAGCAGAGTTTCTAATGAATTTGTAGGGGTTGTTCTCATTGCCCCTGTGACACATAGGTTTCTTGTATGCTGCCTAATGTTTAGGTACCTACGTTTTGTTGAGCTTTGTTCCACCAGATTAATGATCCATAGGTTATTTTGGGTCTTAATACTGTCGGGTATAGCCAATAGGCCATTTCCGGTTTTAATCCTGAAGATTTGCCTGAGTTACGGGGAACTTTATGGAAAACATTTGTAATATGTTTGTAATGTAATAAATAGGTTGACCTAACCTGAAAAATTGAATATCACTACACTCTTAAACGAGCAGTGTTTACATTTCACTTTCCAACCTAAAATTCAATTACTAGTTAGATCTGAAAATAGAAGAAATGAAAAAATGTTCTAAATATTAGAGTAAATGTTCAAATTATCCACCTTCATGAAGAATGTAAGTTAAAGATGGATACTTGAACATTAATTTTATTTTATTTTTATCATGTTAAATTTTATACCAAAGTTTCCCCTTTGTTAGATTTGATTAAATTTCTTGTTTTTAAATACAAGTTAAAACATCTTTATGACAATTTTTCATTTTTCATTGTTTTTAAGTGATAATTGACCCTTAAGACATCAAGTACATGTGTTCACAGCTCATTACTACTACTTTCCAGTATCAGACTCGTAGAAGAGGATCTTCACCCTATTAAGAATAGGGCATGCGAAGTGGCCAAAAGGAACTTCCTTTTGAGGCAAAGCCCACGTTGTGTCAAGCATGTAGAGAAAGGCTCGATATGCCCCACTAAATAGAGGCGTAGATTTCCTTGGGTCCATATAGAGAGCGCGTAGGAATGCCACTCAAATGAGAATCCTACTTGAGCACTTGAGCACGGCAGCGAGTATCTGTGTTTCCTGTTCCAATTTTTGGAGGAAACGGGGATGTCCTGTTGTATATAATACTGATAATTTTGTGTCTTGAGCGAGTTGAAAGTGAATGTATTTATAGTCGTGAATGTGCAGTGTTAGTGGGCCGATAGCCGAATATTTAGTACCCCACCGATCCTCAATTAAGTAGAATAGGTGTAAAGGGTGATGGAGGTTGAGTACTCCATCAGCCTGTGTGAACGATATGTAAATAAGAAAGAATGTATTAAGAGTGAGTGAGAGAGTGAATCGGTTCCGTTTTTGGCATACTTTGAGGATCACCTCGGCACCTGACGGATAAGATCGAGGTCTGACCCCGGACGGCAACATCCGAGTTGGGTGATGCTCAAGGCCTACCGGTAATCTATTGTAAATTGCAAAAGATGAAATTACCGGTGTCTGCGCGTAGTGGTAGGCTCAACTATGTACACACGCTTATGAGCTTATATAAATTAGCGGCAATACAATAATGAATGCATGATATGAACAGAGTTTAGTTTTATGTTTAGGATGTGTTACATTAGTTAATTTCTATGGACGGGTTTCATCTCATCACATTTTTTCTTTTAATTTTAAGACATGTCACGATTCCAGTTCTCTTTTAATCTGGCTATAACTTATTCCACAATTAGAATTTTGAGTTATTCGGAGGCTTCTTTTTTATCAAGCATATCTGCTGCGTCGTTGCCTGTAATTACCTCACGATCTAGGAGCAACTTTAGCTTGAGGCTATTTGAATATCCTAGTTTTTAAGACTATTTAAGCAGTTCAAGTTTTGAGGTGATCTCTTGGTTTAGACAGCCGTTAGAGCAGCTTGGCTTTTTGTAACAATTATTATTGTTTGAACTTAGAAATGTTTATTATTTATTTCATAAACACATATTTGGCTAACAGTTCGGTTGAATGGCTATGCCCGTACCATTTCCCATCTTTTAGCAGTCCCAAATGAGGTCTTTTGTTTTTCTTATGATTTTTCGAAGTCTAATATTTTGTCTAAATTTAGCCGTGTCCGTTATGTTAACTTTGTGGAAGATTTTGGTATGGCAAGTTGTAATTTTATTTTTGTTAATTGATAAAACGTTTCTACATAACCATTCTCTTATATTTAAAAAATCATTGGAAACCACTTAACAAAAACGAAAAAACTCTACTAGTTTGCAATGAAAAGATATCATTTAAACACAAAATGAAAAGAAGTGGGCCCATACATTTAGGCATTGACACACTCCACAGGTCAAAAATTCAATATTTTGACATAATTTTGATTTAATTTATGTTAACAACTTAAGAGTTAATGGGAGGAATTAACTTAAGAGAATATTAATGGGAGGAAATTAGGTCAAAAGGGAGATCTTATATAACAATCCTTTTCCAGCATCTTTTATAAAAATGAGTAGTCAATGAAATCAAATGCTCTGTCCAAAAAAATACCTATGACACAACCAATATCGACCTTATTATAAATATATTTAGCCACATCGAAAATTGCATCGAAGTTGATTTTTTCTCTGAAAACCATACTGCCTACTTGACAAATCTTGCCAAGAAAGAATAAATTCAAACTTTTATCCACTTCCCTAGCACCTTAGACAAAGTAAGGGGTGAAATAGTGCAAATACTGAAATAATGAAAATAATAGTGCACCCTTGCTGATCTGCTATTACAACATCCTCACGTATAAATATTTTTATTGACTGTATAAACGAGGTAACCAGTGTCGCCTTCCAACTTAGAGATCGATATCATCTAAACTGCTCAAAAATGAATAGGGATATTGCCAATTTTGTAGTATTTGCTTGCCCTAGCATTTTATTTTATTTTTATTATAGGCTGCATTAAAATTTGTAAGAAATTATTATGTGTTTTACTGAAGGAAAATTTAATTAAGGGATTTTTAAAAATAAAAAATTAAAAGGTTTTAATTCCGTAATTTTGTTAATTGGATACAATAATTTTTTAAAACAATAATACCGTGCATAATGTCCTCTGTTAGCTAAAACCTCTGTGCAACTGTTGGGCATACTGTTAATAAGATTGTCACTAATTTCATAAGGAATTTCACTCAATAGTTGTTTCAACGCTGCACTCAGTTGTTGCAGGTCAACGACTGCGGATGGTGATCGAAAAGTCTTCTATGCAACGCATTCTACATGTGTTCAACGGTATCGAGGTTTGGAGAAAAAGGGGAAGGGGCAGATGAGAAATTCCCGAGTTTTCTAAGCATTGATGCACAACTGTGCCGCTATGATGTCAGGCATTGCCATCTAAAAATCGAAAATCCCTGCCAATGAGATCCCTGGTTTGAGTGATGTA